GATTTCTCGAGAAGAGAAAGTAGACGAACAAGCCGACGGACGGGTGCAGAATTTTCTGAATTTTTCCTAATTTGGTATTTTTGAGTTTTACTCTTTTACTTCAGGTTCCAGCCAATTCCACTTTATTCAATCCTAAATTTTTAGGAGTTGAAATCTCTATCTTTTAGGGATAAGATCATTTAAATCTTATCACACTTGTAGAAAGATAACATTTGGAAGATTTCCTATTTTTTAGAGATAATATCATTTAAATCTTATCACAATCATGGAAGGATAAGATTTGATTGATTCTATTTTATCTACTTTTGAGTTTGTTCACAATAAGAAATCTATTTCTTGGTTTCTACTCTCAATCTTATCACACTTGTAGAGGAATACTCCTTGTTTCTTTGACCTTTTGAGGTTATTTGGCTTTTTGCAATATCTAGTATTTTGCATAAGGTAGCAAACGTGCATCCAAGGGTAGTGTCCTTGTGTGTGGAGTTCTTTAGATGTCATTGTAAGGGGGCACATCTATCCATCATCGTCATAACCTTTAGGCGGGGGTTGAGAGTCGTTACTCGTGGGGTTACATCAACATCACTTTTCTTCTTTTCTATCTCTCCATCCTTTTGGTTAGAGTTTTTGTGACTCTGCCTTCTTTGTGTTTTTCGTGCAATTTTGCTGTGGTTAGGGGAAAAATCAAGTCCTTGAGCAAGTTTCCGCTTATTTACAAGTAAGATCTATCTTGTCTCGCGCAACAAAATTTGTTTTGCCTATAGTTTTCATTATTGGCCGAATAAATTCACATCAATTTGGCCTCAGAGCTTCGGTTCTTCATACTTTCGAATTTTTGAAAGCATTGAGAATTTAATTGTCATATATTCGTTCTCAAAACTTTTGGTTTACTGATTTCTTGCATGTCTAGATCTAATTAAGCAAGGCTCATCTTTGGTTAACTATCTTTGTATTCTTTTGTGTATTTTCTTTAGATCTCGCATATTCTTCTTCCTTTTCATATTTGGCCGTTTGCAATTTTGTGTGAATCTAGTTGATTCAGATTTGTTTTGATTTTTGTTCGGCCATAGTAAAAAAAAAAAGATTACAAAGTTGTTGATTTGGAAATAACTTTACATATCTAAAGGCTAGGGTTTCAAAAAAAATATTATACCCTAAATCTATTAAATTTTTGCCGAGGGTAAGGGTTTCAAAATATTAAACCCTAATGTGAAGTTTGAAGTTTGTCATATGCTTCCTATTTTTCTATTTTTCTTTTAACTGCGAGATTTCTTCTCGTGTTTGTGACATTCAATCTACATTCGTGTTCTTCTTGGATTTGTTGCAAATACTTAGAGTTGTAATGTCATAGAATTCTTGTATGTTCATTGCTTTTTGTAAAATTCTATTTGCTTAATAATCTCATTGCACATAGTTCAAAGTTACAAGGACAATGGTAAAACAAGAGTGAATCTTTCTCCTTACTATATTCTAAACCTTTTCTGGGAGTTATTGGGTTGTGAATAGAATAGTTGGGAGGGGTACAAGGGTTGTGAGTTCTTTGATATCCTTTTCTTGTGTTGTTATGTATCTTTGCATGTACAATGGTACATTTTACCCTTGAAGATTTGTTGGCAATTCAAAGGTTTTGTGCTCGAGAAAACCCAAGTTCAATTTTTTCTTGTGAAAAAGCTATTGACAAGGGTTATGCTAACTTCTCACGAGAAGATCTAGCAAGGTATAGAAAGTTGAAAGAGCAAGCTCAACATCATGAATCTGAACAACAAAGAATCGAAGAAGAAAAAGCTAAAGAAGATTAGCGAAAGTTGAATCAACTCTTGAGTATTTGACATTGATGGTTCTTGAAGAGCAAAAAGAAGCACAAGCTACAAATATTGAATTTCAAAGGTTTGAAGTTGAAAAAGAGGCGCAAGAATGTGAAGAGTGGCAACATGTGATCGAGAAAGAGATACAAGATTTGGTGATAGAAGAAAATTTTTCTAACCATCTAAACTCTTTTATCGTTTCTATTTCTTGTCCACAGCATGAAGTTATAGAAGAGCAAAAATTCATTCCCCAAGAACATGAATTTCTACCATTTGAAGATGTTCAAGAAAAAGAGACTTTGTTTCAATAAGTGGAACACATTGACTTTCTTTTTGGTGATATGTTTTCCAAGACAAAACTGGTTATCAATCCATTTAACATATCTGAAGCTTTTCTTGACCATAGTTCATATGAGAGGAAGCAAAGGGAGTTTATGAAGATATTGTTCCTCCGAATATGCATCTAACAAGATTTGAAGACGAATCTTTTCGAAGAAAAGGGGAGTGTTGTGAAAATGGATATTCCATTTGGGATCTTTTCAAGTCATGGTGATCACTACATTATTATCTATTTATATGACTTGAATGTCTCAAAAGTGGTTCATTTGGTAAGTGTCGATGATATGATCCTGGATGAGCCATTAAGAGTTATTCCTAACCTTGATGGTCGTTACATTGATTTTGATCATATAGTGGTTCAAAGGAATCATATTCGAGTCGGTATCAAGAATAATGGGAGATTGAAACCAAAGAATGGTTCTCCTCAAACAAAGAGAAAAGCCGATAGGAGCCTGTCGACTGATTTGCCGAGAAGAGAAAGTCGACGAACAAGCCGACGGACAGGTGCAGAATTTTCTGAATTTTTCCTAATTTGGAATTTTTGAGTTTTACTCTTTCACTTCAGGTTCCAGCCAATTCTACTTGACTCAATCCTAATTTTTAGGAGTTGAAATCTATATCTTTTAGGGATAAGATTATTTAAATCTTATCACACTTGTGTATAGATAAGATATGGAAGATTCCCTATGTTTTAGAGATAATATCATTTAAATCTTATCACAATCATGGAAGGATAAGATTTGATTGATTATATTTTATCTACTTTTGACAATAAGAAGACTTTTCCTTGGTGTCTACTCTCAATAGTTGGATGAAGATTTGATCACGATTGGATGGCTATGATTACTCTACAAAGAAGATATTGATAGTTGACAACCCAGGAAGATTCTTTTCAAGATAAGGATAAGATTCTTTTGAGAGAATATCTCTTTGTATTTGAATTTTTATTTTTATTAGACTAGTGTATCTTAAGTATATAGAGGTGTCTAGATACATTACCTTAATAGATATGACACAAGTTGTCAATTAGAGGTTATTTTTAATCCTAGTTCTTTAAAGTAGGACTAGAGTTATAGATCAAATTTGTTGGAGAATTTTGGGCCCTCTACTATAAATAGGGATCATTCGGCCAACTTTTGAGATGTTCTTTGATGAATTTGTTTAATACAAACTTGAGAGGAAAACTCATTGTCTTTGACGTTTTGAGGTTATTTAGCTTTTTGCAAGATCTAGTATATTTTACATAAGATAGCGAACGTGCATCCAAGGGTAGTATCCTTGTATATGGAGTTCTTTAGATGTCATTGTAAGGGAACACATCTATCCATCGTCGTTATAATCTTTAGGCGGGGGTTGTTAGAGTCGTTACTCGTGGGGTTACATCACCATCACTTTTCTTCTTTTCTATCTTTCCATCCTTTTTAGCTAGAGTTTTTGTGGTTCTACCTTCTTTGTGTTTTTAATGCAATTTTGTTGTGGTTTGGGGCTCCAATGAAGTCCTTGGACAAGTTTTCACATATTTAAAACTAAGTTCTATCTTGTCTCGTGCATCAGAATTTGTTTTGCCGATAGTATCATGAGGTGGTATAAAATTTATCATGAGTGGTATAAAATTAAAAAACACCCTACCACACCAGATAATTGCATTGCTACTGGTATATTATCAATTTGGTAGTACTATGTATGGCAAAAATTTGTTTCGTAGAAATTTTTACCCACCCTTTAGCCATCTTCGAGTTAATCTATGTTGGCTGTATCCCAGGAGCCTCCCAATTCAGAGTAGCTCGTGTCTGCCGTCACCATAGTCATGAGGAGGGATTCCAGTAGAAAACAGGATTCGCTGCCTTGCCCGGTACTAGAATAAGACCAAGAAACTCCCACCAAATTGGTACACCGCTCGCACTCTCGTGGTGTAAATGGGAGATGTTGGGATTTTTCCGGTTTGTGGAGGTGCAGAAAGTTGCTGGGATTTTAAGTTTGTCTTCCATTCGCGGGGAATATTAATTGTGTTTAGCCAATTTGTGATGTGATTCAGGTGTGAAAAATAATGTGGATTAAAACCATAAACATAGTTGTTATGTTCTAGATCATTTACTGTTCTCACTTTTTGTTAATTTTCATGCTTAAATTTTTTTTTAAAATTTTTTTAAAGCCATCACCCCCTGAATTTTGCTTTAAGTATTGTGTTTCAGCCAGCGTACATACTCTGCTTTTCTAGGATTTGTGACAACTTTTTCGTCATATATGGATTTTAAAGGTTAATTTTTATTTACCTTTGTAATTTTATTAAAAAAATAGAAACTTATCTAATTAATATGGTTTCGTTGTGATGTTGCTCACCCATAATTACATATGGTGCGAATCATATTTATTGGCGAAATTTTAATTGGATAGTCCAGTCAAAATCTAATAACAGGATATAGAATTTTTCGATGGTCCAATCAAAATCAATATAGGAAATGTAACATAAATAGATGTTGTATATTAGTCTTCCTTTCATGAATAATGATGTTCATCTTACCATATTCCTGTCACTCTTGCATTCCTTATATGTCAATTACTTTTGAGTAATGTATTTCCTACATTTAGTACACTACTCTATGCTCTATAACTCATGTGAATATTATATTTGTTATCAATATTCATAGCAGCGATGATAATCATTTGCATGATTATAATCTTATCTTTAGAGGTTTACCTTGGGGGTTAGGATATATTTATTTTTAATTTTTGTTGAAGGTATTTATTTTAAAATTTTTAATATAAAAATATTTAAAAATTTTATAAATGTAACAACAAATAATTAAATTGTAATTAAACGCTAGATAAGATCTAATAATGAGATAAATTAGTTGAAATGTATATTACTCTTTTCTCATTAGCATTAGCTTTCATGATTAACAACACATATGCACTGTTAAGCCTTACCCAATGGCTGAGAATGTTACCTAATAATAACTACATACCTACAATTACAAAAGTAATTCGATACTTCCAAATATTAGTAACAGGACCTTAATTTGATTTGATAATCGTGCACAACTGAGTAGAAAATCGGACACTTTTATTGCTTATTCGATTAGACATATAACCACATAAATATATAATATCATTTTGTCACTCTTATACTCAGTAATAAACAGTACATATGTCACAATAAAAAGCGTTAAATTACAGTCCACTAGATCCAATTAATTTTGTTAAACCAAATGTGATGGCCATAGCTAACCAGCCCCCAAGTAAAACCCTCACTGACGACCTCACCGCCGGAGACTTCCCCAAAACCGCCCCTAACCACCCGAACGCCACCAAAGCAAGCGTAACGGCGGCGACAACCACCGCAATCCTCACTTTATACTCCTTTATAAATGACGCTGCTAGTAAAGGTACCATTGCGCCAACTGAAAATGCAAGCGCGGATGCGGCCGCGGCTTGGACCGGGTTTGGCAAGCTCTCCTTATCGGAGTCCTCCTCTTCTTTCGGCTGATTATTTTCACCAGCCCTTTTTCTGTTGTCCCTTTTCATTTGGGCTAGTTCTATATCAAGTTGAGAGTAAACGGAGACGAATTCTCCGATGGCCATGGAACATGCTCCGGCTACTAGTCCGGCGAACCCAGTTAAGATCATGGCCTTAATGTCTTGTTTGACTGCTCCAACTCCCATCATTAACGACGCGGTTGAAACTAACCCGTCGTTGGCTCCTAAGACGGCTGCCCGGAGCCATTGTGCTCTTCCGGCGTAATCGAACTCCTTTTCCGGGATTTCTTCTAGGCTTGTTTGCCTTTCGATATCGGTATTATTGACCGGAAAAGATAGTACTTTGAGCTCTTGAGGATGGGTTGTGGTTGTTTGATTGGAAGCCATGAAAGAAGGAGGTAGCTAAGAAAGAAAAGAAGTGATAGAATTTTATTGAATTGAATAACTAGTGTGGAGTATGGTGAACACACGCCTTCTGAAGGCCTTAATTTATAGGCAAAACAATGAAGTGTGGGATTGTGTTTTATAATTGGTAGTGGAGGAAAATGATGAAAATGGAAAATGGTGGTTTTTGAATTTTTTTAAGCACTAAATTTGGCAGCAAGCCATTGATCAATGTTTTTTAAGGTAACAATTATTTTGTTCTTCTATCTGGAAAATGAGGAAAGAAGAATTGGAATTCAGTTTCTGTTTTATAGTAAACAAGATAAGTTGGTGTCTTGTCAAAGATGGAATCTATCTCTCATTAGTGAAATTGATTTGGAGACAATTAAATTGAACTTTTTTTTTCAATGATACAAGTTAATTAATACATACAAGACCGAAATTTTCTTAAAAGTTTTGAATGTCAATTAAGAGTCCATTTTCACGTTATACTTTTCCTTCAGAAGTCCTAGGGGACGTTCACGATCGACGTTGCTACTGCACACATAATATGCTAAATGGAAACGAGATTGATTTTCTTAGTACTTGGACTTTGTTCTCGACGTTATTCATTAATTGGTGTTGGACTACTTTTTAACCGATAAATACTTTTTATCATCTTTTTTTTTTATAAAAAAAAAAGAAAAGGAAATTTTCTGAAAGAATATTAAACAACATTTGATTCAGAATCAAACATGAAATAAGAATACTGATGAGGAACTTTGTAAGAGTTTAGAGTTTGCAAGCTACCAAACTAATCCCGTACTTTTCAAGGAAGTTAGCGCAGAATAACGGGGAAAAGGATATATGAAAAAAGCATGCAATTTAATGGCAATAAAAGGAAGAATGACTATATGAATGCGTATTTGTTAATTTTTAATCAGTTTGTTTAAAGAAAGTAAAAAGAAAAGAAAAGGTAAATACATCATGTGTTCTTTGTTTTAAAGATAATTTCTAACTGCCATGGCGGCAGCTAATTGCGTATGCATCGATCACCAATTTCATTTTCTTTTCTTTTTTTTTTGCCGATCTGCAATATTTTAGAAAAAATTTAATTGTCTAAAGGCCTATTTCATTCTAGTAATTCTGATTCTGAAATATTGCCCGGACGATGGATTCTTAAAATGGTTTATTTTGGGTTGGTGTGGCAAGTTCATACGATTTAAAATGGTAAATTGGAAAGTTCACATAAAAAAATGGAGATAAATTAAAGACCCCAAAATTTTAAGTAAAAGTAATAATTAGAGATTGAAAATTGCCTATGGAATAGCTCTGAGTTTTATGTGCTTAATTATCTTAAAAATTATACTAGAATTATCCGTGCGTTGTACAGATTGTATTACATGTATTGCGTAAAATTGTAAAATTATGGTTACATGTGAACCGAGCGTTATCGTCGTAATATGATAAAATTTGTGTCGATTTTTATGATATAATAATTATAATTCGTAGTGTAAATTACATTCATCTCTTTCTATGTTTCATATTCAAGATAGTGTATATTTTGGAAGGTTAAAATATTGGTATGACTACTTCGTAGTAGAACTTTAGAACTAATATATATTGTTTTATACAACATCTCTTTAGTAATATTTTTTTGTTAGATTTCCCTGAAAAATACTACATTTTATACACACTTGATGGTTTTTCATCCATACAAATAAATTTTATGATTTTTTTTTAAATTCCACCACAATGAACAGAGAGAAAATAATAAGTATCAATAAAAAACTAAAAAAATTGATTAGCAATAGAAAACTAGGTTTTCCATTATTAATTAAATATATAATTAAATATATATGGAATGTAATAATGATGGGTGAAACACATAGGTAAAAAGTAAATTAAAATAACTAATTTACAAAAAAAAATTAACACTTTAATGAAAGGGGTATCTGGCGTTAACTCAAGTCGAAAAAAGACTCTGAATTTGACATATGGCAAAGAAGACTCTGACGATTTAATTGAGCGAAACGTACCGATTGAGATCTCTCCTTTAATATATAAATATAGATTATCACGTAACTACTTAACCCTCCTTCGAAGCAATCAAAAACTTTCTGTTACTCAATTCGTTACGTGTATAACGGACACTTTTTCACTTTTCACACGAGTTAAATGCTCCCTCAACCACATATTATCATGCTTACAATGAATATGACATTAGCTATGAAACAGAAAAGGTAGATAAAATTTAAGTTATTTCACATTTGATTGATTTATAACAACTAAAAATGTACAACTAATCAGGTAATAAAATTGTTTCAGGCCTCGTATATTCTATACCGATGAATGAAAAACTTCAGGTAGGGTGTATCTATATATATTACTATTATAGAAACTAGAGAGAGAAACTAAGAACATGTTTGTTTCAGTCAATGTTTTAAATACGGGGATGGGTATGATTACATGGAGTTTGATTTCAGTATAATCGTTCCAAAATCAGGCACATCTGTCAGGTTTATATATCATTTTTACATTTACTATTTATTTATTAAATTAAAGACGTAAAACTTTAATATTGTATTTATTAGAAATCAATAAATATGTGTGTTAATACAATTTTAAGAACTTATATATATTATTACTTTTACTTAGATCGATTAAGTTTATCCCATGTTGAATAGTTTCAAGTTTGTGTCAAACTGAATATATGAAACAACATATGAATTAATAAAAATAATAAATTATGTAGTTTGAATTCAAATTCAATCATGTTTTTAATTTTAATATGATTATAAATTCTATATAAATGTTGAATTTTGTAACTTAGGAAAAAATTTTATCATAAAAGTTATAACACAAAATTAGTACATTATAAAATATCATGAAAGATGAGAAAAAAATAAAAAAAATAAAATTCGAAATCTAATCAAAACCCATCTGGAGAGTTTAGAGGATTCTCGAATAATAAGGTATCAATTCATTCCATCTAAAGCAAAATCCACCAGCCAAACATAAAGATTTGGAATCATTCCATTCCCTGATTCCAAAACGCATCAAATAAACACCCGGTAAGATTCATTTTTAAAGTGACAACTAGAATAAAATCCTATATATAATGTTACATGTATTCACAAAAAAATAAGTTACAAAAATTGTGTTAGAACTCCTGAATTTTATGGTAAAATAAACACTAAATTAGGATCATCTTTTGATAGTAATTTAAGTAAATCCTTAAAACTGGGTTTTACAAAAAAACAAAAAAAGAAAAACTAGGAAGCAATTTTAACACAATAATTTTGATAGCATATTTATAGTTAGGGTGGATATACAAACATGAAATTCTTCGATGGGAGGATTCCTAAAATTCCAAAGTAAATCAGACAGAAAAGAAAATTTTTTTTATATAGAATAAACAAAATTGTTTATTTATATGGAATAAATAAAATTTATCCAGATGCTGTTGTTTTATTCAAATTCAGATCTTCGGCTTTATCTTTATTACTTGATAATTTTATTTTCGTTTTCTGTATATTTGCATAGGTCCACATTAGTTATTTAATATTTCAAATAGTGTTTACTCAATTAGCATAAAAATAAACAATTAAGATTGTTATTATGTTCTTTCTTAAAAATATTTTTATAATTTTTTTTATACTTTATTTACCCCACACGTTGTGCGGGTTTAACATCTAGTTAGTTACTATTGTTGAATATTACGCTCTAGACTCAGAAAAATGTTCAACGACAAATTCGATGTATATTCGAAGAACATTGCTCCATTAGAAAATGGGCAAAACCTAGTTTTGGTCCCCAATATTTAAGGGTAGCTCAGGTGAATCAGTAAAAAGTTTTGTTGAATGGTTTTAGTTCACATCCTTAAGTTTATTCAACATCTAGGTGTATTTGATAGAAAATTCTGTTAACTTAACAGTCAACTAGCAAAATCATTCAACTGTTTAATAATAGATTAATTTTTATTGATGTGGGCACCAAAAGTTTTTACTTAGATTTTAATAGTTAAAAAATAAAAAACAAAAAAGAATATAAATAGTTAAAAAAAAAAAGAAGAAAAATTCTTCACTTTCCTCCTCCTCTCACCATGCTAACAAAGGAAAGAATTTTAATCAAAGTAGCTCACATCAGGCGGACAGGATTGGGATATAGGAGATTGGGAGATACTACCATTTTTTACTTATTTATTTTAGTATTTTTTTAATTTTTAACCATTAAAATCTAAGTAAAAAAATTGTAAGGCCCAAAACTATCAAAAATTAATCAAATATTAAATAGTTGATCGGTTTTGCTAGTTGACCATTAATTTACGGAATATTCAGTCAAATTCACCTAGGCGTATAATAAACTTAAATATGAGAAACTAAAATCATTGAACAAAACTTTTTTGTGACTCAGCTGAGCTACTCCTAAAAATTGGCGACTGAAACCACGATTTGCCCTAAAAAAATTTGCATTCTTTGGGCGTTCTCCATTTTGACAGAGAATAATTAGGCCTATATATAATACTTTTATATTCCAACAAAAGAGTCATTTTTACTGTTTTAAACCAATACGATACATATCTTAAGACTCTTTTCTTATAACGGATGAGTGGAGTATAGTGATTATGAATCGTATGAAGTTATGATAGATATATGCAACGTCTACTTGCGCTAACTTTAAGCAGCTTAAGAGAATCAGAAACACCAATTTTCACGTCCTTTAATTTTCTTTTTCTTTCTAGGAAACATCAGAAAAAAGATGAGAGATTTGTGTGGGAGTAATAGATATCTTTTAAAGTGTGATTGACAATACAAGAAAAGTAATTAGCCAAAGTTTTGTGGACTTATTCTTAAACTTCCAGGTACTGCGATTTCGGAAATATAAGAAATCAAAATTGAAGAATCAAGAATCGTCCGCTCTAGACTAGGATTTATGTTAATACGTACAATTTTTTTTTCCCATAAGTATAAAACACAACTTTTTGTATTTTTTACTTTTTTTTTCATCAATAAAATCGAGGATATGCCAATTAGATTCCGTCGTTAACTCTCCAAAACAACATATATTATTATACAAATATATGAATTTTAATATATATAACCACTAATTGGTCAACATGCATGGCCCGTAAACCCACCAAAACATATGCATATCTCGATGGACAGTGAAGAGGATTGCACTAAATAAAGGGATCAAAATGCAAAAAAGTTGGAATGTGATATTTTTAATTAATCAGAGGAGTGTGGATTCCACAAGACATGCCACCAATGTCTGTTATTTTT